TGTAGGATTGGGCTTAGAATGTACGATATATAGCAGTCGGTGCTTGCGATGATCAAACGCATGAATACACGCGATGTACTACGCCTGCAGTGTAAACGATCAATGCCCCGTGAATGTGTGTGTGTGTGTGTGTGTGTGTGTGTGTGCAGGCGCGCGCGCATGTGTGTGTATGCAGGCGCGCGCGCATGTGTGTGTGTGCAGGCGCGCGCTAGCAGCTGCTTGCAATTGGCTCTGTCACACTCATTCTCCCCTCACCTTGACGACGCCGACGTCGTCGTTGTCAACGACGACACAATTCTCAACGAGTTCTAATACGAAAATATTTTCTGATATCGATTACGTTAAATAATACTTTAGTCGAATGTCGGAAAATTCGCCGAGTAGCTACGGACGGAGCAGCTATTGAGCGAGCGCCACTGTAGTAGCTCTGGCTGCATCACACACAGCAGCTGAGAGCCGGGGGCGCGTAGAGTATAGTCACCAAGCGTGCTTTCAGCGGATAAATAACATGCTCGTGCGATCACCTAGCACTGCGTTTCTTTCACAGGTTATCGTTGGTTTTGTCCTGCCCGATGGCGCTGCAATATTATCCGCTAGACAAGCAGTACTGTGATATAGAAATGGGGAGTTGTAAGTATGCAGAGTTTTTGTTGATCTCTATATTTCACATTCGTGAGGTGATATTATTTCGCGTTCGGTATATTTGCATGATGACTGTTAGTCGGTCGGCAGCCCCTCCATGCCCACGCCCCTACAACCACAGATACACAAATACAGCCACGCATTTACACCCTACCCCGCACATACATATAAGCCTTACTTTCATACACATACATAGCGCCCCCCACACACACATACATACTTAACCCCACACAAACATGTGCACACCTCCCCCTCCTCCCCCAGCACGCAGACGCACACGCGCACGCGCACGCGCACGCGCGCACGCACGCACGCACGCACGCACGCACACGCACGCACGCACGCACGCACGCACGCACGCACACACGCACACACACGCACACGCACATGGACGGATACACGGGGGCACACACGCACGCACGCACGCATGCACGCACGCACGCACGCACGCACACACACACGCACGCACGCACACACGAACGCACATACTCACAAGCCCGCACGCGCATCTATGTATTTCGTTTGCGTAACAGACGCACGTCGAAGGTGTGTCTAAATATGAAAACGCTCATGTGTTTAAAATCTATATTCACTAATTCGTGTTACTATTAGCTACGCGGGCCCTGCACGGTATTAACCAGCAGACTCTCCAGCTATTTCCCCTGCGACATTTACTAGCAAAATTCACATCGATTGAGCCTCTATGACCGCCCGCTGTGCTCATTATTTCAGATGGCTACACGACAGATGACATCATATTCTTGTGGAAACAGAACGACCCCATTCAAAAAAAGTCGGGACTGGAGCTACCGAGTTTCACATTGGGAGATGAGATAACCACCACATACTGCACGAGCAATACGAATACAGGTACATCCTGCAACAACGCCACAACCATGGCTCCGTCATGACAGCCATGCCGCCGTGCGCGACATCTTGCGGCGAAGATTGTGAAATTATGAATCTTTAGACGAAGCGGCATCTTAGGCGGTTAAATACGACAGGACTATTCGAGAAACAAATCTCTAATTTTCAATATATACCTCCCTCCCATAATTCTATTGGCATTTTACACTCGTGCTTGCCAATAACTAGTTAACGTAACTCCAGCTCACAGCAAGCTGCAGACGCGTCTCGCCCTATTAGGAACGCTTTAAATACTTTATTACAAAGTTGTGTCATCAATTTACGTTTGAGAATTGCTAGAACGCCGCCCCGATTTCATGTTTAATTGAAATTTCGTGCGCAGTGGCGCCTGGCTGCTCGCGATATAAACTCAGCGAAGCTAATATAGAATGCTACAACAACGGCTACAGCGTAGGAGATTTGCTCGTTACTTTTGTCGCGATATGAAATATGGAGATTTTTGGCCAATTTTAATCGACTTGTTTCACTGACCTTAATCTCTCTACCCCCCCCCCTTCCCACGGTTATCTGTCTCGCCTACATTATTTCGCTCGTTGTCTATATATCGTGTCATTCCACTAATATATATATATAATATATAAATATATATATATATATATATTATAAATATATATGTGTTGTGTGTATGTGTGTGTGCGTGTGTGTGGTGTGTGTGTGTGTGTTGTGTGTGTGTGTGTGTGTGTGTGTGTGTGTGTGTGTGTGTGTGTGTGTTGTGTATGTGCGTCTCTATTCCGCAGACGATAAATCCAACCCATTGAACACGATACGGCACACATACTTTAAACAATAAATAAATGTTAATAGTCAATCATCAATCTCAGAATTAACAATTTGTAGTCCGGTATAAACTAAGGCGTTCACTGCATGGCCGTCATACTCACGATTTCTCTTTTATTCCCGGTAAAAAAAAATCTTACCATTTTACCATTAATCATAACGGATCAGCCGTGCAAGAGGCATAACGATGTATTTGAATAGTTTGGTGTATAATAGCATTAATAGTGTCTCTATGGTTCTCTCTTCTGTGTAGGTGCATACAGCTGCATAAAAGGAACGCTGGAACTGACACGACAGTTCAGTTACTACTTATTACAGCTCTACATACCTAGCTATATGTTAGTCATTGTTTCCTGGGTCTCCTTCTGGCTTGACAAGGAGGCGGTGCCAGCGCGTGTCTCTCTAGGTAACTCGCACCCTAAACACAAATAATTAAAACAATTGGCATGAGAGAGAAATACAACGATGGATAGGCAGAGAGAGAGAGAGAAAGAGAGAGAAGAGAAAGAGAGAGATACGAGAGAGAGAGAGAGAGTGAGAAAGAGAGAAATAGA